ACCCTCCAGTGCCCCACCCTGCCCACCGACATCAAAGTAAAAATTCTCTAATGGTACAAGGTCTTGCACGATTGTCACTTCGCTAGACCCTTCGGCCCTTGCTCCCTCTACTCCAGACACGGACACCAGATCCCAGTGGGTCTTGAGCATCAACTACCTGCCAGGTGCGGCGCTATGAGTATCCGGGTATGATGAGCTATCCAGTTAGTGGAGGAGGCAGACAGACAAAGCATGACTGGCTACATACATGGCACCTGTGACATGCCAGACACTGCCCCGAGCAGTCCAAACACATTCAGTCCCTCCTTAACACATCTGCCACCATCAGGTACAACAACTATGTCCCCTTTTACAGATAAAAACATGGGGCACAGAGGGGTCAGACATCTGCCCAGTCTCCCTGGCAGCTGAGGGGGTGCCAGCATGGCACCGTGGTCTGTCTCGGGGCCGGCTCTCTCACGATGCACATTCTGCCAGCACCGAGCACTAATGAGGCTCAGATGTGTGCCAAAGCAGCACCTCGAGCAGAGGGCACTCAGGAAGAGAGAGGGTGGACAGGGGAGGTTTCTGAGAGCAGAGTACAGAGGACGAGCCGGCATTCAGCAGGCAGAGGTCCCGGGAGGCCTTTCAGGTAGTGCGAGGAGGGAGGCAGGGCCGAGAGGCTTCAACCAGCGTGGCAAGTCAGAGCCACCAGAAGCAGGTCGGGGAGCAGAACGCAGGTCTCAAGAAAGACCCAGGGAAGGCTGTGCATGAGATAGGGGCCTGTTGGTGGAAGGTCTAGTAAGTCGGCCTCAAAATGTGTAATTTGTCCTAGATGTCAATGTTTCCCAGCCCTGAACATTTGCAGAGTACTATTCTGTGCTGTGCTGTGCTAAGTGGCTTCAACTGCGTTCGACTCTGAAACTCTATGGACTGTAGCCCGCCAGGCTCCTCTGTTCATAGGAGTCTCCAGGCAAGAATACTGGAGTGGGTTGCCATGCCCTCCTCCAGGGGATCTTCTCCACCCAGGGATCCACATCTCTTACATCTCCTGGATGGCAAGTGGGTTCTTAACCACTAGCACCACCTGAGAAGCCCAAGTACTGTCCTAGGAGATGTGAAAATTACCATTGCCCACTACCTCCTTCGTGGATCACTGCTGTGTTGTGGCAAGGGGGCTTGGGTAACTCAATGAAGCTGTGAGCCATGCCATGCAGGCCCACCCACGATGGATGGGTCACAATGTAGAGCTCTGCTAAAACATGGTCCACTGGAGCAGTGAATGGCAAACCACTCCAGTATTCTTCCCAGGAGAACCGCATGAACTCTATGGAAACTCCAGGGGATAGTGAAGGACAGGGGAGCCTGGTCTGCTGTCATCCAGGGGGTCGCAAAGAGTTGGACGCAACTGACAACTGAACAAAAATAACAAATGTCTGCTACAGACAATGGCCCATTCAAACAATGGTAGATAGCAAGCACCCCTAAGTGCCAAACTATAGACTCCAAGTACCATTTCCCAGGAAAAGAAACCAGGGCTCCTTGGAGAAATGATGAACTCTAGGTGTAGGGCAGGAAACATACAAGATGAGCCCAAAGCATCACGTCAGACAGCATGGGGGCTACCAGCAGCCACTGGGGTCCTCTCAAGGGCTCAGAAGCCAACCTGAGGGGCTCCCACAGGCCAACAATGAAACCAGGGAACACCACTGCATCAAAATGCCCCACATTTAAGTCCATACATTAAAACTCTGATTACTACTGTTGGAGGATGCCAGTGAACCAATTAGGTACTTTGAAAACACACAAATACAAGAAAGGAATCAAGCACTCCCTATATGAACTTTACTATGAGGTAACCAAACAATAGAGAGGGGAATACCAGACCACCTGACCTGCTTCCTGAGATATCTGTATGCAGGTCAAGAAACAACAGTTAGAACTGTTGGAGAAAACTATTGAGAGTCCCTTGGACAGCAAGGAGATCCAACCAGTCCATCCTAAAGGAGATCAGTCCTGAATATTCATTGGAAGGACTGATGCTGACACTGAACCTCCAATACTTTGGCCACCTGATGCGAAGAACCGACTCATTGGAAAAGACCATGATGCTGGGAAAGACTGAAGGCAGGAGCAGAAGGGGACAACAGAGGATGAGACGGTTGGGTGGCATCACCGACTTAATGGGCATGAGTTTGAGTAAGCTCTGGGAGTTGGTGATGGACAAGGAAGCCTGGCGTCCTGCAGCCCATGGGGTTGCAAAGAGTCAGGCAGGACTGAGCGACTAAACTGAACTGACTGAACCAAACAGTAATTGAAAGGAAGTATTTTTCAGTGAGCAAAGGAAGAAGGAATGATAGACTTAGAATGTTGCCATGTCACAACCCTTAATTAATCAATAGATTTGGATATTGAATATCGATGGCTACTGCCATCTCAAGAAGACACCAGATATTATAAGCTCCCTAGCAGAAGAGCATGAAACCACTTATGAAGTCAGCCCCCAACCACTGCCAGATTGAAATTGAATCTGACCAAATTTCTGAAGTCAATGAGCAACTTACAAGAAATACAGAGGAACCTATTAAGTGACATACGGGGGTGAGAACACAACTCTCAGACCACAGGATGCCCTTGGAGGTGGTCATAAACTGTGAAGAGATGCATTTGCAAAAAGCATGAGAAAATTAGAAATTTGAACACTGACGAATATTTGATGATAGTAAAGAATTATTACTTTTTAGCTGTGCTAATGGTACTGTGGTTTTTTTGGCTAAAGAGCCCTCATCATTTAGTGACACATACTGACATGTTCATGGATGAAATGACATAAATGAGATCAGCTGCAAAACGCTACAGGGTGTGGAGTGTGGGGAGGATGTGGGTGAAACAAGATTGGCCTTGAGTCTGTAACTGTTGAAGCGGCTGAAGGGTGCAAGGGGGTTCATTATACTATTCTGTAGACTTTTACTTTTTATAGCTTGAAATTTTCCATAATAAAAAGTTATGAAAATACTTGGCCCCATCCCCAGAGATTCAAATTAATGAGTCTGGGCTTCAGCTCAGGCATTGGTTATTTTTTTAAGGCTCCCCAGGTGTTTCTACTGCCTAGTTGAGGTTGGGAACTATTGCAATCACTGGCATGGAGACCAAGACAGAGGCTGTGGAGAGGAGGGAGCTGGGCCGGGAGATGTCAAGGGGCAAGGCACATGGTCCTTGATCTGGTTGGTAAAGAACGATGAGAGCGAGTGGTCAAGGACAATGCAAAGATTTCACGTGCGGGTGATGGAGGGGTGCTGGTCACTGGAATAGGGCAAGTGTCAGGGCTAGTACTATGGGAGACCTGGGGGAAGGTTCCGAGTTAGTTTCAGGTGTTGACTTTGAGGGGCCCATGTGACTGTCAGTGAGATGTTCAGTGGACAGTTGGACCCGTGGGTCTAGAGATCCACACTGAAACCCTAAAGCAGACACAGAAACTTGGGCCCCATCATGCTGTCCCCCAAACCAAGCCAGAGGTCAGGATGACTGCAGCCAATGATGGCATTAAAACAACAGTATCTGGCCGGTTAGCTCAGTTGGTTAGAGCGTGGTGCTAATAAAACAACAGCACCTCCACCCCCTGCCTTGGAAAGGGGGGCCCATATGACCCTATTCCTTTCACGATTGACCATGATTCATCCTTAATCTCCCCACTCCTTGTCCACTTTCCTTGGATAGACCCCCTAGGCCCAGGGTGAGATGGCCTAACCTCCTGAGCAAGTGCCAAGAAACTCCTGCACGTTCCTATGTCCTGTTCTAAAAACTCATGCAGATCAATCAGCATTTGTTTTTTTTTTTTAATTGAAGTATGGGTGATTTACAATGTTTCCGTGAAGAGAAATGATTCAGTTATATATATACACACACATACATATTCTTTTTCAGATTCTTTTCAATTATAGGTTATACGTGCTATATAGTAGGTCTTTGTTCTTTATCTGTTTTATACACAGTAGTATGTATCTGATAATACCAAATTCCTAGTTTATTCCTGGTCACTGGAACAGGGATCATGTCAGGGCTGGTAGTCCAGGGGACTTGGGGAAAGATGCTGTTGATGGTTTAGTTGCTAAGTTGTGTCTGACCCTTTTGCGACCCCACAGACTGTAGCCCGCCAGGCTCCTCTGTCCATGGGATTTTTCAGGCAAGAATACTGGAGTGGGTTGACATTTCCTTCTCCAGGGGATCTTCCCAACCCAAGGATTGAGCCCCCATCTCCTGCACTGCAGGTGGATTCTTTACCAACTGAGCCACCAGGGAAGAAACTATATACAGTAGTGTGTATTTGTTAACCCCAAATTCCCAATTTATCCCTTCCCCGCCTTTCCCCTTTGATAACCACTAAGTTTGTTTTCTATGTCCATGAGTATATTTCTGTTTTGTAAATAAGTTCATTCATATCTTTTTTTTTTAAGATTCCACATATAAGTTATATTATATGGTATTTGTCTTTCTGACTTTCTTCACTTATCATGATAATCTCTAGGTCCATCCCTGTAGCTGCAAATGGCATTACTGCATTCTTTTTAATAGTTGTTATAGCATTTGTTGAACAAATAGATGACCAGTACATCTGAAGGAAGACCCCATGGTATCAGTCATGTCTGGGTATGCCAGCAGACAGTGCAGCCAGCAGCTGATAGATCGTCCTGAAATGGCCAACACATGTTCCTCCCACAAATATTGAGTACTGTATGGGCCAGGTATAATGCCAGGCAGGAGTGAACTGCAAGCCCAGGGTCCTGGCCCCAGGGAACTTGCATTCTAGTGAAGAAGCAGATGGTAAACAAGTGTACAAACAAACACAGCAGGTGATGACTTGGAGACAAGTCTGCATTCTCAAAGTCTGCACTGGCAGTTTCTTAAGCGACAAGTTTATTCTTCATCCATCTAAGTCACAAGGTCTTTATTTTTTCCCTTGGACAAAAACCATCACTGATCACAGAGGACAAAAAGCTCCCCACTCAGGAGCAGGGACTTACCACTGAGTCCAGGAACTGAATGTAAGACTCCAGCCCAGGTCTGGTTTCGCAGAACTGCCGGAAAAGCAGCCTCCCGATTGGCTGTTTGTCACATAAACTGCAGTAATCTCGGTCTGGAGAAAAGAAAAGAAGAATACGGTGAGACCCAGACAGGGCCAGGCAGAGCCATCAACCCGCATCTGGATCCTCATCCCACATGGATGCAGCAAGGTGACTGGCAAACTCTCAGGACCCCTTACTCATCTCCAGGTTCTGCAGACTCAGAGGGACAAGGTCAGTAGAAAAAGGGGCCAGTTAATACCTTGTCTCTACTCTCCAGTCCACTCCCTGTTCAATGCCCTGAATTCTGTATGAAGATCCTAGCACTTCCTGGCACTAGTGTCCCTAGCTGGCTGATTAGCATGTCACATTCCTTGGTTACAGTGACTGGATAAGGGAGCCGAGCATGCAAACCAAGCCACTAAAATCCACATGAACCACAGATGTTGCCTGGGCACGCTAAGCCAGGGTGCTCTCTCTTCCTCTGGTGCTGGGGTAAGGGTGTGAGGCCAGGGTCTGCTGCAGAGATCTTGATACTGCATAACAAGCTGCTGTGAGGATGGCGTTCACATGGAGAGGAGGTCAGAACTGGGAAAATTATGAGTGGGTGCTCTGGTGAAGTCATGAATCTGGATCACACTATGCCTGCAACCTGCAGCCCAAACCACATCTGAAAAGCTTATTTATGAGCATTGTTTAGGACAATTTGAAAAAGTTTTTAAATGACTTATAATTCAAAACATGCTAATGAACACAGTAAAAAAAAAATCGTATTTGCCCTATTGAAGCAAAGCCCAGTCTTAAAGTGCTTCACATTATGAAAACCCTGCATTTTCCAGCTAAGGAGCTAGAGGCACAGAGGCAGGAAGTGACTAGTCCTCAGCTACTGAGTAGCCAAGAGAATTCTGAAGAAGAAAGACAGAGTAAGAATCAAAGCCAGAGGCCTGGAGACCAGGGTTCTAGTCAGTGACTTGCTATGTGACTCCAAGCAACACATCCGCCCTCTCTGGGCTCTTGTCTTCCTCCGTAAAATGAAGATGCACATTGGAGGGAAGATGGGAGGGCCCCTTCTGGCTCTTTCTGCAATGACTCTGCAAGAGGCTTTCTCTGGCCAGAAAGATGCTCCAAGGTCTTGCTGAGACACCTTGCCTTGGATCCCCTAGAGCACTGAAAATGAGCCCCTTGATTCTGCAGCTGCACCAGGAAAAGTCAGATGACTTTGTGGGGAAACCAGGAAGAGGGTGAGGGAGACCTGCTTAGGAGAGCTATCCAGAAGACAGGAAAAGACTAGATCCTTGTAGAGTGTAGAGGAGGAACCAGGACAATCATCCCTTTAGAGTGGGTTTCCCTGTTGATATGAAACACAATAAGAAGATGGGAAGAAAACCATCACGCCCACTCACTTTCATACCCAGAGAGTTTATCTGCACGAGGTACAGCCCTTACTTGTAGGGAGATTGGTGGCTGTAAGCAAGGGCTCTGAAGCTAAACCCAGGTTCAAATCCCAGCCTCACTATTCACTGCCTGTGTGCCCTGGGGCAGATGACCTGATACTTTATCCCTCAGTTTCCTCATCTGTAAACTGGGAACGATAATTGCACCTATCTGCTAGGACCAGTGGAGAAGGCAATGGCACCCCACTCCAGTACTCTTGCCTGGAAAATCTGATGGACAGAGGAGCCTGGTAGGCTGCAGTCCATGAGGTCGCTAATGGTCAGACACGACTGAGAGACTTCACTTACACTTTCATGCGCTGGAGACGGAAATGGCAACCCACTCCAATGCTCTTGCCCGGAGAATCCCAGGGACGGGGGAACCTGGTGGGCTGCCATCTAAGGGGTCGCACAGAGTCGGACACGACTGAAGCGACTTAGCAGCAGGGACCAGCATGAGGATTAAATAAGACAATGCAGAAAAACGCCTCAGACTAGATCCCGGAACATAGGAATTGGTTAATAAGCCCCATGTGTTATAATGATAGAAGTGTGGTTTGGGGTCTGTTCTCTTCCCCATCCTTTGTGGAACCTCCTCCCCAGAGTCTGTAAAATTCCAGCCCATGGTTCTAAGGGAACAATTCCTCCCAAGCTTCAGGGAGGGGCATGTGACTCAGTCCCAGCCAGTCAGGAGTCCTGTCTCAGGGCCACACTGATAGGTTCAGGGCACGTGGCCCAGGGGGCCTTGGAAGTCCTTCCAGGGCTTTTGCTAGAACTTCCAGAAAAGAAACACGTACCCCTCTGGGATGACAAGGTCTTACGACCAGTCAGTCAGGAGCCAACACAACTGTCTTTCCCACCAGACAGCGAGCGCCCATGGAGAGTGAAGCCGATATAGGAGAAAGAGTAAGAAAGAGAAGCCTGGAGCTGCAAATATCATAGGAGACCCCAAAGGCAGCTGACTGAGGCCTGCTCTCCCCCTGCACCCTTATCCACCTGTCGCTTAACCCAGCGGTGTTGTGTTTCTGTCTGCTGGGTCAGGAAGATCCCTTGGAGAAGGAAATGGCAACCCATTCCAGTATTCTTGCCTGAACAGAGGAGCCTGGAGGGCTACATAGGACATGGGGTCACGAAAGAGTCAGACACGGCTTAGCGACTAAACAACCATAAACCAAAAGAGCAAGTGACTAGGGCTGGAGAGTTTATAGCCCACTTCTCCTTTCCTGCGTAAACTGCCTGAGGGCGCAAACTGTTTCTGAAGGAATACACCGGCTCTTGGGGCTTCCCTGGCGGCTCAGACAGTAAAGAATCTGCCTGCCATGCGGGAGACCTAGGTTCCATCCCTGGGTCGGGAAGAGCCCCTGGAGAAGGAAATGGCGACCCACTCAAGTATCCTTGCCTGCAGAATTACATGGACAGAGAAGCCTGGCGGGCTACAGTCCATGCGGTTGCAGAGCCGGACACGACTGACACCTCCACTTCCTCTGTTCTCATTATACCATGTGCAGAAGGCACTCACGACCTTCCCATTCTCTCTTGAGTGGATACGTTGATGAACAAAGATGAGACACCTTGCAAGTTTCCCCTGGGCCCCTCCTCATGTGGTTTGGGGGCTGAAACTAGCCTTGAATTGTTGCCTCACTCAGCCTACCTTTCCATGCACAGGTGGTTTGGGAATAGCCACTCCAACAAACATTTAACCCACCTCGGGGTGTGGCAGGATCGGTGGGCGTAAAGAGGTGGGGGGAATGGGACACGATCCCAGACCTCAGGGATCTTGGATTCCATTGGAAAGGTGGAGTGCGTTTGGGTGAGCAGACAAGATCCCAAGTGACAGTAATAAAATGTCAGGTCATCATCAGCGACAGGAGGGTGACCAGTCTGGGGCCTGCACCTGTTAACGCAACACCCTACGGACATAGCCTGCCTTCTCACTGCCTCCCTCTCAACCTGATCCCCCGAGGGGAGAAAACAAACTTTCTCATCCTTCCCCGATCAGCTGAGCTTCCCCAGCACCAACACAGAACAAAGTAAATTACCTCATGTCAAACTCCATTTTATTCAATTATGGCAGGGAGCGCCCCCATCGCTGATGCGATTCGAGCGAGGGGCCCTCCCCATCTCTGAAAGCAATTATGAGATTTCATGCACCACACTGCGATTCCTCAAGGGTTCATCTGACAGGGTTTTCTCTCTCCATATGGCGTGTGCTGTCAGTATGGAAACAAGGAGGCTGTAAACTCATAGCACAGTAAACACCATGTGATTCCAACACAAGCTGTCAGCACCTTAGTTCTGACTGTGCCTCTCCCAGCTGTACAGAGGATCCCAGGCAAGAAAGCCATGTGCCAGGAGCCCAGGAAGAAAGAAGAGGATAGCAAGCATCTACTGGGATGTTTCCTTAACTTGAAATAAAGATAAACGGACCTGTCCTCTGAGGAAGCGCAACCACCACTAAGATTAAAGGGCAAAGTCTGCAGTTCCTTTAGATACAGAGAAGGAGGCCACAGAACGAGGAATAGGAATCTGAGGATTGATCGAGGAGACAGGAAGAGGTGCGGATCAAAGTTCTTGATGTGTCAAGAGCAAGTCCAAGGGGCAGGTCACTTCCGGAAAATCAGAGGAGACTGCAGTTTAAAGCACAAGTTGCTCTGTGATATCAATACATCTTCAGAGCAGATCCTTCCTGGTCAGTTTCTGTGGAAGCTGGGCATGTTAAGAAATGCCCATAGCCCTTCTCCCAAGGGTGTCCTAGAGGGGTTTGGTGGGGAAGAGTTCCCAGCACAGAAGGGCAGGGATCTCTCTGGCCTCTGAGTCTCTCTCTCAGACTGGGAGGCCCTGGGATGCTGGGCACACAGGCAGGCACACACACATACACACCAGCTCTTCTGAACATGAAAATTCTGCTTTTGGTTACATTGCTCATTTGTCTTTCCCTCCAAGACAGAAAGAGCCTGTTGTTATGTAAGGTATGAGGGGCATCGGGCTCCCTGATCCCAAAGTATTCACCAATCATCTAATCATTCCAGCCTATTCTTTGGGGTCCTTCCTTCATTCAACAAACTCTCTTCCAAGTTTTCCTGCTTTATGATACCAGAAGGTTCCTTCAATTTTCATACACTCTTATTGAACTGAACACCTGGTGGGAGTGGATGGTGTGGATGAGTGGATGGGAGGAGACACACTTCATACCCACTGGCGGGTTAATGATCCAGGAGCAGGCTTGGGGTTAACAGCTGGCCATCAGCTAAGACCAAGATTAGGGGTGTGGTCTTTGTTATGTGACATTTGACCTTGGCTGCAGTAGAGTTGGTCTGGTGGACATAGAAAACTGAAGCATATCTAGAGGAAGGTAATGGACAGGGGGTCCAGAAAGCCCATTCTAAGCTCTGAACTTACAGTGCCCTGGGTCAAGGGGCAGACTGCACCAGGGAGGGCTGGGGGGTGGGGGATGTGCTGGAAAGGCAGGCTGGTTCAGACAGGAAAGGGCTGGACCCCAAGGCCAAGGAGACTGGAATGGATTCCTCATCCCACTGGAGCCTCAGTGATTCTAGAGAGCACAAATGATTCAAGTGCAGTGTATGGGAAGGTGGACAAAAACGGGGAGGGAGCAGTGAGTCCGAGACATTTACGGAAGAGGT